ATCCCTTTTGTTTTCAGTGCAAGTCAGCTGATTCTGGATTTTTCCCCACAGACTGACAAGTCTTCTTTCCTCAGCTCTTCTAATGTGGCCTAGACAGTTCCTTTGTAGGTTTGCCTTGATGTCATTCTCTACCATCAAATTACTAAAGCTAAAAATAAGTTAAAAAGGATGTAAGACAAACTGGGTATTGAAACATTAGGGTAACGTTCCCTCCCTTGAGCCATCCCACAAAAATGCACAAGATTAGGTTTAGCACTTACACCACTGGAGCAGCAGCACTGAATCTTAACTACTACCATCCAGAAGCAGCCAAATGCAGCAACTGAAGGCAACTTCTGGAGTAGCATCATCAAGAATGATCCTTGTATTATAGAGGAGGAAAGTAAAGTGGTTGTTGACTGATGGAAGTCATCACTCTGATGCAAGGAACAACGGCTGAAGAATTGCTTCACGATTCCTGAGACACAAGAGAGGGTTGGGTTTTTTTTATGAATCTGTGACGTTTTGTAGGTCAGCTATCAGCGCCTCGTAGCAGCCTACACTCTCCCAAGTTGCACCCACAGCTAAGAGTCAGACAAAAACACCTGAAGTAGCTCACAGAAAGACTTCTATGCTTAAGTATCATATATTTAACAATGATACCTAGCCTTTATAAGATCAGAAGCAAGTATTGCAGACCACTAGGGATCCTCCTTGTTCCTTCCAAAAAAGGAAGTTTCCCATATTCTATAGACCTGAAGATACACCTTGGTTTTCCCCAAGTGCTTTTATGATGGAATAAAGAGGGGAGGAAAAAATTCACTAGCAAAATTATTGGGGCAAAAAATCCGTAATCTGCCTTAAGGTTCTCAAGGACTTGGAAAGTTGGAATTAACATCTGGCTAAAAAATGTGGTGTGATACAAACAAAAAAATAATCAATAGTCCAAACATTATTCAGTGTGTTCTTCCAAGGATCTGTCTATCAGATGGATGTTTTTGCCACTCTTTCAGTGTAATCACCCATCATGGAAACTGATGTCCCAATTAACAGATCAAATCACTGAAAACCACTCATGCAAATAGTCAGTCCCCAGAAAGAATCATCAATAAAACTGTATTTGCCAAATGCTCAGACAACACTCAAAGAAATGTGCACTTTTACTGTTGGCTGCCAAGCTTTACATTGTCTTTAAAGTTATTAGCGTTGTAATAAATCTACATTTTTAAATTTTAGATCTGCATTTTTCCAACAACAGTGTAACAACTTAGTTTCTGTAATGTAGTTCCACTTCAAGGTTAGTCTTCCTCAAAGAATTTTTGCTATTGTTTCTGCTTATCTTTTCACTGAAGATCCTTTTTTTCTATTGTTTCTTTTTAGCACACGTTCCTTTTTAAGATGAAATTTAACTTAATAACTGACTTCAGCCAGACCACCCTCCCAAACATCCACAACATCAAAATTTGATTATGTTGGATAACTTCTGTTTCAGATTCTTTGTTATCATTGAAAGAATGAGAAATTAGTTATATTATCCAGTAACAATTCTTTGCTTAGACTATATTATAGATAGTATTTCCCTTCCTACTACTACAAACATGCATTTGATCTGTAAAGCTTGACATTAGCTTAGTATTGACCTCAACACTTTTTTTTTAAAACTGAATCCTGTGTTTTACCAAATGAAAACATACTTGAAACCCACTTAGATCAGACAAGAGTTGTGTGTTCTAGATAGCTTTTTCATTTCTTCAAAAGCAAATCGTACAGCCTGACACCACCTAGCTTTACTGAAACTAATCAGACGGTATTTGTGCAGATATTGTAGATTTTGGAAGTTTTTTATGCAGCTTATAGTCTTTCTGCTCCTCTCTTGTAATTCTTCTTAAAAATTATACTTGTCCTTCTCTTATTTGCCCACAAAATAATTAAATTATTTATGCTCCAAGCCCTGAACTAATGAGAACCTTTCTCCACGTCCAGAGAGCAACATCTGCATTTTCAGCAGTCTAAAAATAACCTTTCTCCATTCCTGTTTTTCCCAGTAGAAAAAAACCACGCATCCAGGAGAGCAGTTTTAGAAAGGTCTAAAATCTTGTCTGTTACTTATTTTGCAATATTGTCTAGTAGCCTTGGTCTGCAATGAACAATGCCACTACAATATAAACATGCTCAACAAGAGAGATCATCACCCAGGAGAACTAAGTATAAGCCAGAATACAATGGATGGAGAAAGAGAAGGTAAAGGAAGCTGTAAGGTCAGTTAGGTCCTGCCTACAGCTGTAAATACAAAGTGTAACACAGCAGGACAGGAGTAGTTACAAGTTTATACCTGAAATGAAGAAAGAAAACACTGAAATAAAGAACGGATTTCATACCAATCCTTTTTTGGTATATTTTTTTTTTAAAAAAATGCCAGCAGCATGCCTGAATTTAAGATCTGCCTCAATATCCCAGCTTACACATTTGTACTTGATTCCAGCTCTGCTTTGGTGTTAATGGTCTGTTAAATGGCAGATTTGTGTTACTACGCTGTTATCATTTCTACCTTCACTCTTTTAATGCTCTGGAAAATACCTAAAGCCGACAAGGAAATGTTTTTTTGTTGCCTTTTTTTTTTTCCTTTTAATTTATTACAAGAACAGGGAGAACTCACTTTGAAAGGTCAGTCTTGTTCATATCCAATTTCATTTTAGTAGTCTAAAGAACCATCTCATCTTTGATTAATAGATTAGTTTAATGGAAGACATTATAAGCAGCAAGAATAAGATCAAAAGCTTTCGTTTGGCTAAGATTTTGCTTAATTTAGAGGCAAAAACAGGAACTCCTCGTGGACAGGAGTTCTCATAAAGAACACTACAAATCAAACTTGCAAAACATTGGGCTCTTGAACGAGGATATGCTACAAGAGCTGCAAGTGTATATGAGTTAAGCAAACAATACTACCACGTGTAAGCACCTTCATGAGCAAATCACCAAAGAGGTAAAGTACTAACGCATATTTTATTAACTTAGTCATCAACTATCACCATCAACCTCTCTATCAGTGTAGCTATACAATTATGGCACAGGATGACATTAGAAACGTACACAAAATATTAATAATTGCATGGCTCATTTCCTCAAATATAGTTACAAACCTAAGCATCTATTTCACAGAAGTCCAAGATCCCCGCTTTGAAGTTGTTTTTAAATCATCCCTGGTCTAAAGCTGTATTTTTTTTTAATTCTCCTTTTTGTCCTACACAGCAAAAGACTCCACAACAAGAGGTGTTTATACCACCCTTTTTATTTTTCAGCCAGAAATACAGTTTCATAAGGTATTTCAATAAACAGTGGTGTTTAGTCCTTAAATAAAACCCCCATCTCTTTGGCATCTGACCATATTCTGTTTTTCAAACTAGAGACTATATAGGAAGATTTTACTTTCAAGATCATTGTTCAATACATTAAATTTACACAGGTGTAGTTAACTTTTAAAAATACACATCAGTTTGTTGCAAAGATTCTAATAAACCTAAAAAAAGAGAACCAAACGAGCAAAATGCAGACTACTGGGCTGCCTTCATTTATAACTGTGGAGTAGGTGACACAATGAGAACTCCTCTTAATTTTCCACAGCACATGCACTAACTAGTGCTTTCTATTCATTCTGAATGATAAACAAAAAAAAAAATATCTTAATTCTACCAGAAACTACTGATCAAATAATTTATGTTTCAAAACAATGTGAACTTATTTTTAACTTCTTCTGCAGAGGTCATCAGCCAAAACCAAGTTGCGCACTGCTTCAGTGAAAGATTGCACCTAAAAAAAGTCTGAAAACTATTTTTAAACATAAGTTAAAATGTTTTAAATACATCTAGGAATGCAGCTGTCAAAACTGCACTTGATGTCATGTTTGGATAAAAAATTCTAAGTAAGAAAGTAAGCCAGTGTATTCAATCTATTCTGTTGAACAATCCAGGATCATCTCTTCAATGCTGATACAGAAATACTTCGCCTGCACCCCACCAAAAAAAAATCAGCCTTCCAGATCTCAAGCGTTCAGTGCTTCAAATCAACTGAATTGCCAAAGCAATGCTGAAGTTATTTGACACCTTCCGTTACTATACATGATACAGAAATCACAAATTAAAATCAAAAACATTACTGACATACCAATGCAGACATTCCAGTGTATTTACTGGAATCTGATGTGAATACTTTTTTGTGTGTTGAGACAATGTAAAAAATAAACCCCACTAACAACAACAAAAAAATCTTCACTCCCCAAAAGATTTCTTTTTAATAACCCAAATACTTATCCTGAACAAGTTTTATAGAACAGAGGAGGCAAAGCAATTACTTGCATGCAGAAATTAAAAAATAATTTAATAGGATTCAAGTAGTTGTTTTATGAGTGAATCTCACCCTCATCACCAGTGCAAGTGCAGTTCGCAAATATTTGAACTGTATTGTTTAAATAGCAAGTAATCCAATTTAGCCAAGCTCACTTTCCTCTCCATGATGTAAAAAAAAACCAAACAAAACAAAACAAAAAAACCCCACATACATTTTACTGTAGAATACAGGAACAAAAAGTAAAACCAAAAAACCTCCTAAACTTGAGTACTTATCCAAGAGCAGTTTCTAACATCAAGCCAAAATTAGCAACAACCAAGCAGACATCACCAATTTTTCAGTGTTAAATTACTGTAAATACTAGATCTAACTGTACAAAAAAAATATCCCAAACCAAAAAATCAAAAGCTTTTTTTTTTGTTAAAATGTGTCCAAAGAAATATCCACCAGTTGCAGTCAAATTTGCATTAGAAGCTCCTTGCTCAGGAAAGATTTATCCCTCTGAGTATTTGTAACACATTGCATTGCCAATATTCTATTCAAATAAATTACTTTCTGATAACATTTAGCTGATACAACCACCTACGATGGTGGACAGTCATATACACAGTACAACAGTGGATTTTTGCAGCAACAGAGAAATAATCAGAAATTGGCTCTAGATTCGAGATGATAGCTCATGTGTTATTTCTTGCAAACATACGGTCCCCTCTAAGGGTAAGGTGTTGGAGCTGGTATTGTAGCACTTCTGTGTCAGCAGGTTCCTTAATGCTCATTTTGTCTAAATTGAGGTAGTCCAGGGATTTCGAATGAGCCCTTTTACCTTTTAAAAGGCAAAGAGGCAGGGGACCATGAAGTGCCTTGTAAGGTTCATATGGTAAAGCCTTAGTGCATTTATCCCCTGAGCTGGGCATCCGTCTCCTTCTCCTTCCATTTACTGCTGGGATCTCATATGGCTGATAGTACCTACTTCTAGTTTTGTACAAACGGGAGGAACGTGTAAGTCCTGAATCAAGCTGTCTGGAGCGCAAGTTTGGCCCAGATTCCCCTTTATTCTCTTCACTTCCTGTACACTTCTGGGCTAATTTTAGCAGCTCCTCTCCAGTTGTGAAGCCAACCAGGTAGTTAGAATCCATGTGAAGGATCTGATATCCCGCAACCGTCCGTCGCATTGGTGAGCAGGGGGTACTGGAACAGCGGGGCTTCTCTCCTTCCATCCTGCCCCCGGGACTCACCTCTGCAAGAGGCACAGGGAGGGTGGATAGCGTAGTTCTGGACTCTCCATTTATGTCAACTTCCATTTTAAACACAATGCTATTCTCCTAAAAATAAAACAGAGCTTGGTCAGAAATAGAGCTTTTATGCAACATGAGGAGCTGAGAGAAGATCGCAGAAATGAGATTTGGTATCACCCAGAAGTCATGACCAGTACTTCACTATTCAGCCTTGTCTTATGCTCTGCAGGGTGTCACATAACAAAACTATCACCGATATCTGCCTTTTAAAATTATCTTGAGTGTTTTTTTAATAAAAAATACCATAAATATATTCCTGATATTCTTAAATGTTAAAAACGTTCTTGAGTAGTACAATACACAAAAAAGAAGAATCTTTCCAGTCCATTTTTTCATCCTTTTAGTCCATTTGATTCCTCATAGCCCCTCACCTCTGAAGCCATCTTACATCCATTAGTACATCCATAGCAACTTCTCCCATATGCAGCTGTTACTGCTTATTGAAATTATTGTCAATAGAAAAAACAGCTATTAAAAAATGTGTCTAACTCCTACTACCGCCGTCAGGCATGACCACGGACAAGACCTGATCTACTGAGGGTATTGCAATGCTTCCCTCTTCCAGGTGTGAAGACAGCTTGCTTTAGATTCAAAGAATGGCATCCTGACTGTTCAACAGCTGTCTTTATACGTCCCAGCAATCCTCCCGCACCAAAAAACCTATCGTCTTATTCACAATCAACCAAACAAACTCACACTATTTTATTCTAATGTATTTCTAACAAAGGAAACAGTATACTAGCATTTAATGGATATAGCATAAGATTCTTATAAGCATCTTTAAGAATAACCAATATTCTGAATTCTATGGTATTTATTTGTTTTTCTGTTTCTTTTGGAAACAGACTATTTTGCCCTGACCCTTCTTCCCTCATAACTATTCCAAATAGACAGTTTTGTGCCTTTACAGACACAGCTGTCTGCAAAAAGCCATTACAGTCTCTAACATGGAAAGATAAGGTCAATCTCACAGCAAGTATACACCAGTACATGCCAGAACACAGAGAAGGCTTAATTCTTTTCCTTTCTTTGTTTTCAGCATCATCTACACTATCTGGGGGACACAGCTACTTCATAAAATAGAAAGGTCACATTGTTTTCAAATCCATGCTTCCTTCATTGTCACCCTCACCTTTGCTCTAAACAGTAAGTACTGACTCTCTAGCCAATATAGTTCACAAAGATTCAGCATAGCTTTGTAATGTTTAAAGGCAATGAGATTCAAAAAAGAAAGAAAATGCAAGGTATGCAAGTGTCAAGCAGAAACACAATTCTGAATTGTCTGTAAACCACATTCAAAAGCTCAATAATGTTTCACAAATGAAACTGACTTAAAACATGCTATTATCACTTTGCAAACTTTTAAAGCTGCTACTTGCTGCCGTTCTGAGGCTTAGAAGGTCACCGGCTGCGTAGCAAAGATACAACAAGCAAGGGAAGGAAAATGCTCCCTCCCTTTCAATACTTCATTCAAACTTTAGATGCCTCCAAAAATCCCATCAAGATCAATCTCTATTCATTTGTCTTAAAATAAGGGGGAAAGCTGTGCATAAATCTCCCTTGCAAAAGAAAATAATCTAGTCTTATGCAACATTTAAGACTATCTTATTTCTGTTCAGAAACTGCTCCTTCGCAGTCCAAGTAATGTTGCCACTTCTGCTTCCCTGTTTAGCCTCAAATCAACCTGCTGCTCCTGTCCTACGCTAATAAACTACGAGTAAACAAATCCCCATAGTTTTGCTGAAGAGGATTTTATTTGCCATTGACAAACACAGCAAAAGCTAAATAAAGAAAAAAAATACCAAAGCAAAACAAACACCAAAATTTTTCACTGAAAAAAACATCCACATAAAACTCAAGAATGTTGCCCATTATATTTAATTCGCTTTGAAATATATTTATGGAGCCAATTAAAACTTTAAGAATAGCAGAAACAGTTGTTGTTTCCTACTTTAGCACCATATCTAGCAGTGAGATAATAAATACGGTGAGGTTTCAGCCACTGAGTTAAAGATATTCATCACAATTCCTTAAGTCGAAATTATAGTTCCTGCACCATCAGGAACCATGGTTACTGGAGGCATAGCACAGAAAAATTTCGTATTTAAACTTTTGACTACCCTGTGTTTTTAGCCGAGAAACCTAAATATTTAAGAGCTCCTGTTCTTTTAATTCCCCATTTTTTACCCTGTAGTTCAGAAATCTTTCCAGTAATCTTCTAGGAAGACTTAACCTATTTTGTTAGGAAGCTGAAATGATGCTAGAACAAGTATAAATAAAAGTGTCATACAGTATGGTTAGAAATGAATCATTGTCTAGTCATATATAAACAGCTGCAACAAAAAATAAAAAACCCAACAAAACTAGCAATCACTTGCAACAGCAATATGTGCCCTAAGGAAAGGGAGCAAGAAAGAGATGATTTCGTGCACTTTTTGAGTTAAAAAAGCCTTGAGAACTTGAAAGCAACACACAGGCTCTTCTCAGAGCACAGCTTTTAAAATTAATTTGCTTCTGTTTAAAACATGGGTGTGCACCCTGGTAACAAAAAGCAAGCAACTTTGAAGAACGGCTACAAGCAGGAGGGAAGGAGGCAGGAGTTCTCTGCCAAAAAATTACCCCTTGCTGTCCAAAAACAGTACAAAGGAAGATCAGAGCAGAAAAGCCTTCAAGTCAGCAAGCTCCAGCCTAGTACTTCAGCCTGAAACTGCAGAACTTCCATTTCTGTGCTCCAGTGCGAAGAACAGCCCTAAAAACAAGAAATCCGACAGACACTCGAAAGCAGCAGTAGCATCAAAAGCTGGTGCCATAGACATCAGAAGCTGAAGGGAACAGCACTGCTAGCTGGTGAGAGGAATGACTGGCCAGCTCTGCAGGCAGAGGTCCAAAACTCAGCATGTATGTGGTTCAGCTGTTATTTCCCAAGACTTTTAATGTGAGTTACTCAAGCTGCCATATGGCTTCAACATGCTTTGTCTCCTCATCTGGTAAAAAAAGATAGAGAAACATTATTTAGAAGACTTCTCTAAAAGAAAATCATTTGAGAAATTCACAGTATCTGTGAATGTAGATCCATTACCTACAAATACACATTTAAAACTTTTAGACTGCATTTTTAGGCCATTTCCACGGTTATAAGGCCTTAGATGACTACTATTAGGTTCATTGCTGTGTAGTGGTGTAAGCTCGTCAGTAATTCTCAGCATCAATTATAATACTGAAAAAAACAGTACTTCAGTTTAAAAGGAGTATTTCTTCAGATCACAGCTGCCTTGTCTTCTTACTTCTCAAAGAGAATGACAACGGAGTGATGTCAATTCAAGACAATTTATAATTAAAGATTTGCTATAGAATCAAAACAAGAAGAGGAACAAGATGGCATATGCTTTTCTTTGCTGCTGCTTCACATACTTAAAAAATATGGAAAATGACTGAAAATAACAGTTACCAAGAGGATGCACTTGATCAACACACACCAGAAGCTCTTCTAGAATACAATTCACTTCATTAAGATGTTACAAGATTTTATCGATTCTCTTTATATTATAAAGCAGGCTCTGCATATAAATTAATCTGACCCAATCTAGCTAAATATTGAGAAAACTGTCTGAAACACAGAGAAAAGGAATAATAAATAGAAATACTAGGTTACTGACTATAAATTATTGTATTACCTTGAAGAATACATTAATATGCTTGGGACAGTTCTTTGAGGGTACAAACATCAAAACCTCCACATTTTGCAAATATAAAGGCTTTCTGACTATTGAAACTTTTACAAAGGAATTAGGTATCACTCAAAGATTAGCATGGGACAAATGAAAAACAGACATGTATGACACACTAACATCTAACATCACACCATGCTAATATATGCACTGTAAATCATTTGTTGTTGGAATGACCTCTCACCATGTGAGATTTATATTTATATTATTTTTTCTGTTACATGTATTACTGTCTTTTGGAGGACAGCCATGCAAGTGACTCAAAAAATATCAACTTTAATTACTCAATATTTAAAGAAGAAAAAGAAAGACGAAGAGGGGTTTCCCTTGACACTGCTATGCTTTGTAAAAAGTCTGCATTATTTTGAAACCACCACAATAAGTTGCTCCCAGCAAAAGCACTGGTTCTCTGTAAATTGGTATTTCCATTGTTACTTATCTTCTCAACTAGAATATGAACTGATTTCAGAGGATGACTTTTTTTAGGATAAGCATTAAATTTCTGTCCATCCAACTACTGATTTTATTTTATTATTTTAAGAAGAGATTTTTTTTTCCTAGATGCCAAGCCTGCAGGTACTACCATGCATTAAGAATTATACAGATCTGCCTCCTTGATAAAATGCTCATCACTGCAATAAGCAGATGGTAAAATGGAAAGATGGCAATAGACTCAGTGACATCAACTCTTTTACAGAGTCAAACATATTGGATAGAGATATCAAGCCAGTTTTGACACTTCCTCTTCTCTGTGCTGCCATTACTTAATATATGCAATGCACTTAAAAGATCCAATGTTTGTCTATCAAACACCAGGAGTAAGTAAAGTCACCCAGCACATGTGAAGCACATGAGAAGCCAGCATACATTTTTAATTATTTCAATTGTCTCTGCTTGTGAACAGGAAGAATAAGGTCTTCATCTTTCCCCTTGCAGTCCCAAAAGAAAAATTCCCATACATATAGTATGTGCTCTTGGAAATCCCATCTTGTTTCTCTGTCACTGAAACGCGGTGATGCAATTACATGCTTTAGAGGAACGTTTTCTGGAAATAAATATTTCCAATCTGCAACTAAAGCAAATGAAATATTTAGCTGAAAGGGAAAAAAACAAGCTAAAATTCAGCTATGTAAGAGTATCCACAAAGGTGCCACATTTCTTTTTCTACAGCTGGGGCAGCCAAGCTATAGACTTTGAGATGTACGCAGCTTGTAGGTTCTTCCAGCACAAGCTGGTGATACTGCTGCACGTACTGCCAGAGACAGATGGTTACTTTTAGCCATGTTCTTTACCTCCAGCTGAAGGGCCTTAGACTAATGGTGCTTCACCATACCCTTGAAGGTCCCCTATAATAGTTGTGTCATGTTTTACAGACTGATACCATGTTTGTAGAGACAGGAAAGGGGAATAAAAAAAAATAAATCACAGAGAACAAGCTCATGAAAGGTATCAATAAACTATACACATTTTTCACCAGCTCTTGCTGTTCCTTGGGAGAAATTCCAAACTACTCTAAGCTAAAGCAAAAGCAAATGGAGGTAATGTTAAATTGTTGCACCATGTGAGACAACATTCAGATGGAGTAAGAACAAAGTTTAGCGCAGATTTTTTTCTCAAAATTAAATGCAAGAAAATGAAATTACACATAAAGCATATGTTACGATCCCACCAGCCTTAAGAAAACAGATGAATGTATATTACCGAATTAATAAAGCCAGTGCAATAACTTTAGGATGCGATGCAAAACACCAGTCCACAAAACAACCAGTAAAAATGATAACTACAGAATAGGGTGTTTGTGTGGAGGTTCTTGTCAACAGGTGAAGCATTAAGCCCTTCAGCAATCCAGTATACTGGACAATAAATACCACATGGTTTGCACAGAAAAATGAATTATTAAATGTTTTTCTAAAGAAGATTAAATCAATTTCTAATAATATGTTCCTACTGCAAGAAGCAAGAACTATTTAACCAGTTTGTTAATTCTTGTTATTAATGCAGCTTTAAACAGAAAACAATTATGATCCAGGAAACTACCTTTTAAAAATGAAGAGGATCACAAATGAATTACTGAGGAACTACAACCAGCAACTCCAGTGACTAGCTCAGACCAGATCGGCATGACAGAGCGTACAATTTACACAGAAAAGAGACAGATGGAATTTCAAGAGTCAGTCCAGGCTAATGAATTTTGTATGAGCAGACTTAGCAAGCAGGGAAAGTAAAAGAAAATGGTGGGAAAGAAGGCCATTTAACTTCTGACATCTCTTTGCCAAGCAATATTAGATGCAAGTGTTTAACAGAGGGTAACTTTTCTGAAATATTTAGAGTCCTTTAAATAAACAATGCGACTTCCTTGCTGGATGGAATCACACACAAATGCTTCTACCCCCACTCCATCAGTAAGCTGATGCTCCCGGCCAGCATATAGGTAGCTGTCTACTATCGTTACTCATCAAAAAATGAAACAGTGAGACACATCTAAAAAAGCTGATGCATATTGTAAAACAAATCATTTTTATTCTTTAGTTGGTTAGTAAGTTAAAAAAAAATGTTTTCTTTATAATTGTATTTTATTTCCCTGTATTTTTGATTTTCATCTTCTCACCAACCAAAATCTAAGTTTCATTTTCAAGGTTCTCTTCTCTCCAGTTTCAGGTTAGCCCACTTGGAAAAAAACAACAAAAAACCATACCACAACCTGACTTGTCAACAGAAATTAAACTGCCTTTTTAAAATAATAAAGATAGCTAGGGGAAAAAAAAAAAAAGCAGATTTTTTATAATATTACAGGTTTCACTGAATAAATACAGATTTTTGCCTATAAAAAACCAAAATGCTAATGGGAATAAGGGTCTCCATTGCTTTTGTGTCAGACAAGAACTGCATGTTTGGTAGTATCCTATGTTTCCACATCTGAAAATACAGCTCTGCAGATATTATTTTGAAACTATTAATCTAAACAAAAACAATATTATATTCAGCCTTTGACTAGGAACAGCTATTCAAAGAAAGATACTGGTTAAAAATAAGACCTACTCAAACACATCAGGAAAAGTACATTTAATCAATGCAATTTAGGGGGTTTTGTGTTGTTTTTTTAACTGAAGCACTTTAAATTACTTGTTCTTTGTCTTAACTTGATGTAATCCTCAGCAGATATTTAGGTGTTTGTTGGAAAGGTGTCTCATTTACTTATACCATCCACAGTGCTAAAGGTCACCTCCTCAAACTTACTAGTTATGTATATAATGACTTTAAAGTTCTGTTCTCTGCCTCCTTCTCACATGCTTCTTCCCATACTTAAATGCTACCTAAAAACAAGTGTTTAAGTGTAATGCAACTATGGAATAAAAAATAATAAAAGCCCAAGAGCACATGCAGGTACAGTAAATTTGTATTCAGCTTACAACTAGCGCGAACAGAAAACTTTGACCCCAAATACTCTGTTCATCTGATTTTACCGTAACATACTGCATTTGCATATGATTATGCAAGCCCAGTGGCCAAGCCGGCAGCATAAGGCTGGTCAAGAAGAAGATATTATAAAGAAAGCCATGCTATAATGTCAGCACTGTTACAAAAGAACTTGATTTCAGTTATGGCACTGCCATCGCCTCATTTCCCTCCATTTCAAAGTCACTGTGAGAACCACCCTCCTCCATCTTCATTATTCTAATAAGCGCATTCTAATAAGTGCTCCTCCTCAACGGGGAAAAAAAAAAATCAAGCAAGCACACCACATAAGACAGAATATGGTTCAAAATACACCAACAGCAGCAGGGTGGTGGGAGGAGCAGCTTTCAGAAAGGGAGACCACTGGGACAAAGTAGGAAGGAGAATCAGTGCTGCACACTTCTACTCCTCATGGCAAAACAAAGCATTGGTTCCCCAGTCCTCACTACACCCCTCCTGGAAATCTTCCAAGGACTCTTCCTGTATTCAGGACAAGCCGTGCCAGAAGCCAGACAACTACTGGTACAAGCAGCAAGTCCTTCTCCCCATCACATACCCTCTCCACCACTCCCACCGAGATCTGTGTAACTGCAGGCTTCTGCCATTGACTCATTTCCTCATGCAGCTATGCAAGCATGTATGTATGTATGTACAGTGACACACTGCACCACTCTAGAGAGCACACTAACAAGCAAAGATATGTTCACAGAAAACATCTCCTAATGCACATAATTTGCTACTTTCTTTATAATAGGTACATACACACTCACACATATGCCAGCTAAAACCCCTATGTAAAACAACATATAAGTAACTCCATCTATAAAGAAATTACGATCTAAGACTACTTTCCTACATATCTGTAGGCCACTCAAAACAGCACCTCAACTGTTCAGAGACACTCCCCCAATACCCTAATATGCAGAGAAAGAATTGGCAAAGCGTGCCTGCCAATAAGCCAAAGCAGCTTAGCAAACTTCATATTCTGTAAAGTAACACTTTAATGCATGCTAGAGTGCACAAATGCAGTCAGTGAATGAGCATCAGTCGTCATCTAAACAGAGCTTTGAGCCTCCATTTACCCTTCACTGACCAAGATTTATTAGAGAGAAATATAAAGTTACCCATAGAAAGCTGGGCACTAGCGCACTTTGTTACTATCAGACTGAATAGTAAGGTCATATTCAGGTTTAGCACGTGCCTAAGAGTATTAAGAATGGTATGGGGACTGCTGGTAGTTGTAAGTTACAACTGAAGAGAGCTATAAATGGTTATGAACAGGGACAGGTGCTAACAGGTGAACGCTGGCTTTTCCACCGTTTGCACTGTTACTAGCAGCTGGCACGGAAAGCGCACTTGAGCAACCTCCCTGCAGGTTTCAGGCCCTACATGACAATTCCCCAGGCTTCCTTCTGCAGGCGGGTACCGGGAGCATCACCCTGGCGTCCCTCCAGACCCGCCCGGACAGCTCCACGAACGCTCTCCGCTGCTCCTCGCTGCCTGCCTACCTCCTCCGCATTCATCAGCTGCCGCCGGGGAAAGCGAAGCAGCCCCGGGCTGGGG